TTAAAATACAGATGATATGACTTCAATGCATGCCGTAAATAATAGCCATGTTTTTTGCACGTATGCGATAATAAATACAAGTGCAGAAAGTGGTAAAGAAATACGCATCGGTATTTTATTTTTAATATTTACAATGTTTTCAAGCCAAAATTGTTTCATTTAAATTTAACAAGAATTTTTATAAATTTTTTGGATATCCACTTTAAGGTCGCATTAGTTTTTAATAACATTTTTTTTCATATGAACATGAATTTCTTATGGAAAAAAATAAAAAGAAGTCGACGCTATTTCTATGAAAAAAACACAATAGCCGTCAGCAATAAAAAAAATAATATATTATTAAAAGTCAATGCGATTTTTTATACGCCCAAAACTTGCACTTATTTTACCAAAATTTACTCAGCCTGTTAACTGAATACCAAAAAAATTTATAAAAGTTCTGGTTAAAGAGTTCGAAATTTATATAAAATTTGTGGATTTTTTCAAAATTCTGTATAAATTTTTAAAGTGTGATTTATACGGGTTATATTATTATTATAAAAAATATCAAAAAAAATTTAAGCCTGAAAAACATTGTATATTAATTAATATATTTTCTTTACTAAAATTGCAAGTATCGTACTAAATTTTGTATACGGAATTTTTTATGGGAAAATCGAAGTAAGTTAAGAAAAATTTTCTGCAGCACTTGAACGTTGATAGACTTCGGCGAGCTTAAGATATTGACCATATTTTTACTACTACCAAACAAAATTCTAAACTAGTAATTTTTAAGCAAAAAAAAAAACAAAACCGACTTCAATGATCATATAAAAATTTAAAATTATCGTTAATTTCATCACGATCCAATTATCGTATCTGAACAGAATTAGTATGGGACCACCCTTGAAATCGGTTAACCTGGTCCAAATTTATGCGGTGGCATGCATAAAAGAAAATAATATTCCGATGAACTGATACCCTACTCCTTTTTGTGAAGTCGGTCAAAAAGCGGATTTTCGTCCCACGCTAATATGTATGTTCGTTTGTATACAAATAGCGCGCCAATGATTTATTGCCAGCATATTCCCTTATCGTTAGAATTATATATAAAAGAAAGCCATTTAAAGCAAACTATCAACAATAATAACTAACCCCACACCGTTTGATGTCGTTCAGTTCCGATATGCTTTTTGATAAGTATTTGTATATATATTTATAAATTTAAAACTGTTTATAAAGCAAAATTTTGTATTAATATTAATACGATAGGCTTTTGTTTATATCTTTATTATACACTGATAAGATTTTATCAGGAAGGCATCGGAAATTCGTCGCTGGGCAAAATTATTTGAAAAACTTTCTGACTCAGCTGATAGTTGTCAACAAGTGTTTATAAATAGTTTACTGACATAACTACATGTCGTCACCTGAAATGCAAAAAGACGTAACGACATCGTCACTGAAATGGAAAAATTCGTGACTAATAATCTTTTTTTGAATAAAACGGTTTGTGGAGTTGTAATTCGATAAAATCCATCATATCAATCAAAAAGTGAATTTTGAGTTTTTTTAAGTTACGTTTTTTGCATTTCAAGTGACCTTATATATATTTACCACACACATTATTGCCAAGCATTTGACTGAGCTTTTCTTGCAATTTGTGGTGTGCGGCTTTATATTATAACACAAATTAGAGAAACCTAACGCTTCACACTGCGCCTGAGTGGCAAATGATTTTGCGA